TCTGTGACTTGCCTTTTTACTCCCTTAATGATGCCTTGATAAACAGAAAAATTCTCATTGCTACATAGTATTCATTATCCTACAATGACTATCCCACAATAATGGCAAACCAAGGAGGTAAATATAGCTTAATTTATTAATCTTTTCCTTACTCCCAAGGTCTTGAAGATACTCATCTACACTGTCTCCCAAAAGAGCTACAGTTTTTTTTTTTTTAAGATTTTATTTATTTTTCCCCCCCAAAGCCACAGTAGATGATAGTTGCATGTCATAGCTGCACATCCTTCTAGTTGCTGTATGTGGGACGCTGCCTCAGCACGGCCGGAGAAGCGGTGCGTCGGTGCACACCCGGGATCTGAACCCGGGCTGCCAGCAGCGGAGCGCGCGCACTTAACTGCCAAGCCACGGGGCCGGCCCCAAAAGATCTACAGTTTTGTCTTTTACATTTAGGATTTTTTTATTGTGGTAAAATACACATAACAAAATTTACAATTTTAAACCATGTTTAAGTGCACAATTCAGTGGCACTAAGTATATCCACAATGCTATGCAGCATCATCACTATCCATCTCCAGAACTCTTTCATCATCCCAAACAGGAACTCTGTACCCATTAGACTCTAACTCCCCATTCCTCCCTCCCCCCAGCCCCTGCTAACTTCCCTTCTATTTTCTGTTTCTATAAATGTGCCTATTCTAGATAGCTCATATAAGGGGAATAATACATTATTTGTCCTTTCATGTCTGGCTTATTTCACTAAGTGGAATGTTTCAAGGTTCATCCATGTAGTATGTGTCAGAATTTCTTTCGTTTTTATGGCCAAACAACATTCCATTGTAAACATATAGCACACTTTGTTTATCGGTTCATCTGCTGGCGGCCACTGTGTTGCTTCCACCTCTTGGCCGCTGTATTGCTGCTGTGAACACGGGCATCCAAGTATTTGCTGGAGATGCTGCTGTCATTTCTTTCCGGTACACACCCAGAGGGGAGATTATAAACTCAGTTGAAGCCCCCCGTTTTCTCCACCCGTCTCATTCTCTCCCTCCCTCTCCACCCAGAGGCAACCACTTTCATGGAGTAGTATACATATACGGCATTCAATTTCTCTAATGTATTAAACAGTGCACGTTATTTTGCAAACGTGCTTTTGTCACTCAACGTTTTCAAGATTTATTCCCGTGGATGCAGAGAGCTTCTGCACCGTATCTCACTGCATGCACAGGCCATAATCTAACCATTCCTCTACCGATGGACACAGGTGATTTCTTAATTTTCTGGTATCCCTTATTAAGCCGCTCTTGTACTTGTCTCCTTGTGCACATAGACGAGTTTCTCTAAAGCAGATCCTTAGAAATGGAATTTGGGGGGTCACAGGCTACATGCATTTTCAAGTATGCATTTTTCAGTATCTGCCAAATTGCTCCCTAACATGGTTTTATTAGTTGGACATCCCTCCAGCACCACACATGTGGTACGTGTGACAGATTCACGTCTTTCCTGGTGTCACCTCTCTTAATGACATTTGCCAGTCTGGTCTGAAGTGCTATCTGCATGGATTTACTTCACATTTCCTTGAGTACCAGTGAGGCTGAACTCTTCCTGAGTTTGCCTTTCAGGTTTCATCTTCTGTGAACTGCCTGCTCATGTCCTTTGCCCAATTTTCATTTGGACGGATATTCTCAGCACGGATTCCTTCATGCTATCTATGCTGCAATGTCTTCACTTTCATGGTATTTCTGGGTCATTGTCTTTCATTTTTGACAAAGGCAAATTTCTTTTTTTTTTGTGAGGAAGATCAGCCCCGAGCCAACAATCCATGCCCATCCTCCTCTTTTTGCTGAGGAAGACCGGCTCTGAGCCAACATCCACTGCCAATCCTGGTCCTTCTTTTTTTTCCCCCAAAGCCCCAGTAGACAGTTGCACGTCACAGCTGCACATCCTCCTAGTTGCTGTATGTGGGACGCGGCCTCGGCACGGCCGGAGAAGCTGTGCGTTGGTGCACGCCCGGGATCCAAACCCGGAGTAGCGGAGTGCGCGCACCCAACTGCCAAGCCACGGGGCCTGCCCAAAGGCAAATTTCTTTATGGTTTGTGCTTTTTTGTCAAAAATGCTTTCCTGTGGGGACTGGCCCGGTGGCGCACGTGGTTAAGTGCGCGCGCTCCACTGTGGCGGCCCGGGGTTCGCTGGTTCGGATCCCAGGTGCGCACCGATGCACCGCTTGGCAAGCCATGCTGTGGCGGCGTCCCATATAAAGTGGAGGAAGATGGGCACGGATGTTAGCCCAGGGCCAGTCTTTCTCAGCAAAAAAAAGAGGAGGATTGGCAGACGTTAGCACAGGGCTGAACTCCTCACCAAAAAAAAAAAAAAAAATGCTCTCCTGTGTTTTATTTCCTCTTTTTAAGAATGTGGCTTTTAGGTGGGTGGACTTGGATCACTTCGAACGCTTGCTGCTGCCACCCCAACCTGTCCCCTGCCTTCCCCAGACTAACTCCTATTCTGAATGCTGGTTTATCAGAGACATACGCTTAAACATGTTTAGTTTATTTGCTTTTGAATTGATGGAATCATACTGAGATTCTCTTCACTCAACACCGCTATTGATTCATCCGTGGTACGCACGGTACGCACATAGCCATGGTGATGCATTTGTACTGTTGTGTAACATTACGTCGTGTGGCTTCGCACTTGATCCATTTTCCCGATGTTGGCCTATGAGTCGTTTCTAGGTTCTTGCTATGAGGGACAGTGCTGCTAGGAGCGCCCTTGACCAAGTTGCCCCGGGGGTTTTCTAGTCTGAGCTTCCAAGTGGAATTGCTGGTTTGGTTTAGCCAAGTCGTAGTGGAGGTCCCTTTAGTGGGAACAGCCTGGTGCTGAGCAGGCCCTTCACATTTGGGGGTCCCAGGCTGCTCCCACTGAAGCATCTGTGATCTTGCAGATCCCAAATCACAGGGCTCAGGGACCTGGAGCCTGGGTAATCTCAGCGCTGGCTGTAGTTCTCAGGAGCATTTGAGTCTGGGGGGACATTCCAAAGGGTGCAGGTCTCTCAGTAAGGAGCACGTTAGAGCCCGTAGGCCCCTCCCTGCACCTGGGCCTGGTCAGGGGTCCCAACCTCTGAGCTGGTCTGAATGACTGAGTGGGGCCAGGGCAGTCAGAAGGATGCTCCTCAGTGTGCGGGTTCGAGCCAGGCACTGCTGGCCTGTCATGAGGTTAAGTGAGATCTGTGGTTCTCCCCTCAGTCTGAGCTGAAGCATTCTCGTGTATTACCCGGGAGGGAACAGGGGCCAGCCCGGGGTTGCCTGGAGGGAAAGAACAGCCAGCCCAGAGAACCTTGTAGGGTCCTAATCAGCCCTGAGCCTCAGTTTTTCCACCTGTCAAATATCACCGGTGAGAAGTCCTATTTGAGCCTCCAGACTCAGTTCCTGCCTCCACAACTCCTGAAGGCTTTCCTGACCTCACTGCCCACAGTGGGCCACAATTGTGGGTCTCCTGCACCAGACTGGCAGCTCTCAAAAGGCAGCGCCTGCGGCCCCAGAGCTCAAAACAGGGCCTGGCAAGGGGGCTAGGGGCTGGAGTTGGTCAGACCTCCACCTGCCTCCTGCCATGTCACCTCATATGGGGAAGAGGGCATCTCCTCCGCCACCTGACCAAGAAAGATGTCACCTGAGGGGTCCATAGCCAGCAAGGAAACGCTGCCCTTGGAGGGACCCCTTCGTTCCTATGGGAGACACAGGCTCCCCATGTGCCTGCTGTCCAGGGTAGGTGCTAAGGAGGGTCTGTTGGGCTGTCCTCACACCATGTGTGGCAACAGGAGGGAAAGACCCCAAGGTAGGTGCCCTCTACTCCAGGCCCTATGGCCAGACATCCTGTGACTTCCCAGCCAGGCCCAACCCTGTGAAGCGACCTTGCTAGCCAGACCCAGGTCCATAAATGGACCAATGCAGGGGCCAGTGGAAAGATAGCCCAAAGGCTGATAAAACACGGTGAGGTGGGCCGGGCAGGTCAAACAAGCCTCAATTCAGGACCTCCAGAGCCCAGAGAGGGAGATCCTCCACGCTCCCCAACCCCATGAGTCATGGCGCTCTCCTGGGCACCACCCACCCAGCTGTTAGAGGGGAGCACACCCACACGGAGGAAGCATCCAGGCCTAAGAGGGAGCGGCTTGCCCCAGATGATGATACAAGGTTGGCATGGGGGCTCTTCTGCAAGAGGGACTGCCCCTTACAGACTGGGGCTGGGCCACCATGCCAACCCTGAGCTGGGACTTCGGGCTCTAAGGCCCCAAGAACGGACCACTTTGGGTGAAAGGTTTCTCAGTCTCCACTGCTGCCACACACGACTTTATTTGTGAAGTCCTGGGCACAGCCCAGACACACACAGAGCACGAAGGGGAAAGCACAGGGCATGGCGGGGCACCTGCAGCCCAGTCCAGTCCCCACCTGCCCCTGCCCAAGTCCTGTAAGAGCACCCGAGATGCAGCTCAGGTACCGGTGGGCCGTGCCCCACCCCCAGACTGGAGAACAGGTTTGGACCTGCCAAGATGCCCCCTCCAGCTTGGCCCCCAGACCAGTCACAGACATCTCAGCAGCCAGAGGACGGCCCCACTGGGTCCAGAGCCAGCGCCATGGCAGGCAAGTCCAGCTCCAAGACCCTTCAGTGTCTGCCCACTGGCTTCTCTTCCTGCCCACAGTGTGGGCGCCACTCCACGGCCCCACCTGCGGCAGTCTCTGCCCCTCAGGCTGAGGAGTCAGCACAGCAGGGATGAACGGTGGGGACAGCAAGGATAGTGGTGGCTGCAGACCAGGGCTTGGTGACAGGAAGCAGCCACCAAGTGAGCGGCCGCAGGTGGAGCAGGAAACAGGCCAGCCACTACACAGTGGGGACAGCACACGGACAGCAACGCCCCAGGCTTTGGTGCAGCCCAGGAGGGTAAGGCAGGCAAGGTGGGTGGGGACAGCCACCAGGACCTCGAGCCTGAGGCACAGATCAGCGGAGTGCCCTCAGATGGCAGGGAGTTTAATGGCAGAGCAGCTCGCAGCCCTTTCACCTGGGGGCCAGCTCCCCTCCAGAGGGACCAGGGCCAGGTCCGCAGAGAGACATTAAAAACTCAAACGCCGACAGGAAGCACACACCTGCACAAGCACCACACCGACAGACATACTCGGGGGACTGACACGACACACGTGACAAAGACCCTCCCTGCCTATGGCCAGAGTCATTCATCCGAGTCCCTTCCCAAGTCACTGGTCCAGGCCAAGGGATGGGGAGAGGCCGCTTCGCATCTAGACCTTATACAGCGTCTGCAGCAGACTGTGGCGGGCAAAGGAACAGGATTCCAGGGCGCCGTTGGGCCTGCGGGGAAAGAAGGGTCAGTGGGCGAGGCAGACACCGCAGGGGTCTGGGGAACTCAAGCTACAGCAGGGCCCATCTCCCAACTGCGAAGAGGGGTGGGGGCCATTTTTGAGGCTAGAAATGTGCCAGACTCAATTTTTGTAATTCTCACAATAACTTTGGCAAGGGAGATGTCAGCCCCCACCTTCTGCATATCAAGGGTAGGGTAGGGATAGGGGTGGGGTGTGTATGAGGCTCAGAGAAGCAGGCAGTGCTCCCAAGGCCACATGGCCCAGGGCTGGCCGGAATGCAGGCCTGCCCAGTCAGGAACCTAGGCCTCTGCTCTCCACCAGACAGCCTCTCCAAGGGCCCTTCCAGTGGGCACAGGGCCAGGGAACCCTCAGCAGCCACTAGTGGACACGTAAGACTAGGCCACTGGAGTCCCACCTGGGCCCTCATAAGTAATGGGCTGACCACTGTTGTCATCAAAATCATCCGTCTCACTGCAGAGGAAGAAACTAACGCAAGATGCCGGGGGGCATGAGCGAGTGTAGGGTACAACCAGGACCCACAGCCCACGGACACCTTACCCGGTCCAGGCTGGCCTTGGGATCCCAGACCATTTGGCCAGGAGCTGAGGGAAACGGGGCATGTATGTCACTCAGTTGGGCAAACGGGGAGACAGAGGCCTGAGAAAGGCCAGAGGTCGGCTGGGGGCCACACAGGGCACGAGCATCCCAACTCATCACTGGTGGGCCCCAGGGTCTGGAGGCTCCTCGTTACACGACTGTGGCCAGTACCCAACTGTGCCCCAGGACCCTCCAGGTCTCCATGTCTCTGAGCATTTGGCGTCCCCAGGGGAGGGCCTGTGGCTGCAGAAGACCGGCGTGACCAGGACCCCTTGGCCTAGATTGCTGATGGGAATGTCCCAGAACTGCTCCTAGAGATATCGCTGAGTGCAGGACCTCCATGAGCAGTGTGACCATGAGCAAACTCCTTAACTGACCCAGTGCATGTTTCCTCATCTCAAAAGTGGGGGCCATTACACGTCCTCTGTCTGTCTCACGGAAAGACACTGTCCCTGAGCCCCGTGTCCTCAGCTGGGCACAGGGGAGGAGGCCTCACAGGCGGTGAGACCCAAACATGGATGCCAAGAGCCCGGGAGGCGTGAGGGCCTCTGATAAGCCTGAGTGACAGGCCAGGGAAGCCTGCCACGTGAGCCAACAAGGGCGCACTCACTTGGTCACGAATGCCAGCAGCAGGGGTGCGAGGGCCTTGGGGAAGTAGTCCTGCTGTACCATGTGGTTGAGCGCCATCAGAGGGCCATACAGGTTGGCAATGGCCTTGATCTTGTCTTCACTCTGCAAGAGGAACACACAGAGCAGAAGGCAGGGTGAGCTTCGAGGTCACCCGGGGGGCCCTAGGTCTCCACCATTCAGCCCCTGCTGAGAGCTCCATGGCCAGGATCAAGCTGAATCCCATCACAAAAACTGAATCTGCTTAAGCAGGCCTAGGCCCAGGGACGGTGTGGGTGAGGGGCCCCAGGGGAGTCCAGGTGTGGGATGGGGTTAGTGGGCGGGCCAGGGCAACCTCTAGTGCACTTCCTCCCTCCCCTCCTTCCAGCCGCACCTTGAGCAAACCCATGTGGATGAGGAGCCTGGTGAGGAAGGCGTTGGAGTTGAAGGAGGATGAGCTGAAGGCCTTCTTCATCAAGGCATCTGCAAGGCAGAAGCAGCATGGGGCAGAGTGCTTGTTGTGGCAAAGGGCTGGTCACAGGCCAAAGGGCGCACGGCCCCTGCACACAGGCTGGGTCCTGCTCCTGCCCTCATCAGGAGGTGAACACAGGAGGTAGGACATGGGCACAGGTACCAGACTGAGGGGACAGTCAGCACTAGAAAAGGGCTCGACCTACGGGCTGTGACACCTCGGTCCTTCCCTGTCCTGCCTCACCCACTAAAACGGGCTTCAGGGGGCAGGCCCTGTGGTATAGCGGTTAAGTGCGTGCGCTCCGCTGCTGGCAGCCTGGGTTTGGATTCCGGGTGTGCACCAACACACTGCTTGTCAGGCCGTGCTGTGGTGGCGTCCCATATAAAGTAAAGGTAGATGGGCACAGATGTTAGCCCAGGGCCAATCTTCCTCAGCAAAAAGAGGAGGATTGGCAATGGATGTTAGCTCAGGGCTGGTCTTCCTCACACACACACACACACAAAAAAAACAGGTAGGAGGGGTCAGAGAGCAGTTCACACATCAGCACGGTAGCAGAGGGGTTCCGGCCACTATAAACATCATCTGAGCCCTGGAGCCTGAGCCATCCACACCCCACCCTCCCCACGTTACCTACTGCATCCTGCACCGCCGTCCTCACGGTGGCTTCATCCTTGAACACAGACGACACCTTCAGGAAGGCGGAGACCACTTTCTCCGGGTCAGATGTGTCAGTCTGAGGACACAGAAGACAATGGCTGGTCACCAGAGGCCAGGGCACCAGGGCTTTGGCACACCATGGATAGAGGCCTTGGCAAGACACGGGCCTCTGGTGGGCAATGACAGGTCCTGCCTCGCCCCATGCTGTCCCCTCAGAGCCAGGCACAGGCCTGGCCCACAGAAGGTGTGCAGCACAGAAAGAATGAGAGAATAAGCGTTACAAACCATTCTCCCTGGGACCCAGTAATCCCCTTCTCATAATCTAACCTGAAAAAAAAATCCAGAACATAAGGAAGCTTACCTCGACTTCAATGAGAACACAGAAAAGTGGAAACAATGTGAATGTCCAGACACAGTGGATTGCTTAAGTGCTACATCCCCTCTCGGGGTAAACGGCATGAGAAGAAAGGTTCTCATGAGATCGCAGGTTCAGATCGCGGGCGTGCACCGACACAATGCTTGTCAAGCCATGCTGTAACAGCGTCCCATACAAAGTAGAGGAAGATGGGCACGGATGTCAGCCTAGGGCCGGTCTTCCTCGGCAAAAAGAGGAGGATTGGCATCGGATGTTAGCTCAGGGCTGATCTTCCTCACAAAAAAATTAATTAATTAATTAAAAAAAATAAACATAAAGGAAACTGGCCACCGCCCAGCCAGCTCTGGGAGCAGCCTGCTTTATTTCTCTGTATTTATCATTTAACCTCTTTGAGCCTCAGTTTTTCCATCTGTAAAACAAGGGCAACACGTCTACATCTCAGGTCACCAAGAGGATTAAATAAAATCATTGCCAAGGACTCAGAACAGTGCCCGGCAGACAGGAGGTGCTCGACAACCATCTCAGACTGAATGAGCGAATGAATGAATGAATGAACTAACTAACAAGTGAGGCTGGAGCAAGAGCCCACAAGCACGTGACCGACACAGGTGCCCTGGGCAGGACGGCTATTCCAGAAGCAGCTGGCCCTACAGGACGTGCAGAGCGAAGCCTGGGTGGGTGTGCCGGGAGCATCCTGGGAGAACCCCCTCATTCCAGGTGTCATGGGGGCAGTCAGTGTGCCCCTCCACGCAGCCCAAGCGTGTTCGCAGTGGGTGCAGTCATCCACAACCACCGGAGGTGGGCGGGCTGGTCACACTCATTTACATCTCTATGTATTAGAAAAAAGCCACCTGGGAGCACACCCGCACCCCAAGCTGACAGAGTCCCCTCCCAGCCCCGTGCTGCTCGTCCCTTCACTCTGGCAGCTCCAGCAGCTACGCGCAGGCAGGGGTGGAGTCGGAAGCTCTGGTACCTGTTGGGCTATCAGCACAGAACTCTTGGGCCCGAGGCGCAGCAGCTTCTCCGGAGAGGGGAAAGCCAGGAAGGTGGAGACGTCTACAGGAGGCGGGGAGGACAGCACGGGAGCTGGTTCCTAAGGGATGGGCAGCACAGGCAGTTTTGTAGAGGTCCAAACCCAGACCCCTCACCCAGAACATGCGCCCCTCACTCTAGCCAGTGAAGGCTCAGAGTCTAGAATTCTTCCTCCTACTCAAATGCAGTTCCCCACAGGGTGGAGGGCCCACAGATGCTGGCCCTGGCTGGCTCCTAGGACAGGAGCCTCTGGGCTAGGGGCAAGTCATCTCCCTGGGACTCCGAGAGCTGGCGCAGTCAAATGGATCCTCACCATGACATGCAGTGCTCCAGAAATGACTCAAGAGGTTATGTGAGGGCTAAAGCGGACCCCACTAGGAACTAGAGACTTAGCCTGGATAAGCACGGCTAGTGAGCATCAGAGACACCTACAGAAAAACTAACACCACCATGCCATTTATTGAACTGCTTCTACGAAACTGGAAAAGAAGCCAAACTCAGCATGAGTGTGGGGGTCCTTGTCCAACCCAAAGTTCTCCAGAAGCTTTATTTGGGAACCTATGAGGGAATAGACGAGGCAGCCCTAATTCCACCAGCCTCCCGGCCTGGAGGCTCAAGGGACACCAAGTGACCAAGCTGGGTCACGGTCCTAGCCAGTCTCTGGAATGCCGGGCTGTCCCTACCCAGTCACCAAGATGGGTAGAAAAAATAATTCCTATTTATGGTTTTTTTTTTTACCTTATTCTTTTAGAAATACTTACATATGTTTTATAATATACACAATGCAGCAGCATTATATGTGTTATAATCATGTTGCAATTCATAAATGAATAAACACATCTATACTGACTTATATATATATATATAAACATATATATATTCCACCCCCCCCAAAGCCCCAGTAGATAGTTGTATGTCATAGTTGCACATCCTTCTAGTTGCTGTATGTGGGACTCAGACTCAGCATGGCTGGAGAAGCGGTGCATCGGTGCGCGCCTGGGATCCGAACCCAGGCCGCCAGTAGTAGAGCACGCACACTTAACCGCTAAGCCACGGGGCTGGCCCTATACTTGACTTATAAATATAAGTACATTGGGATGATTTTCTTTTTTTACTCAGAGGAGCACGCAATCAAAAATAGTTTGTGGCCACTGTGCTTAAGTGGCTTCCACACGTATCACCCCCCGAAGGTGTCTTAAGATGACACGATCAGGGGACCAGGGCTCTGATCCTGACAAACAAGGAACTCACCCCACTGTTAGGGTCCAGAATCTTCCTTGATGGTGTGGTTGACTCCTCTCCTTGCTCTTGCTGCTGTGGCTCTTCTTCCTCCTCCTCCTCCTCCTCTTCCTCTTCTTCATCTTCTTCCTCCTCCTCCTCATCCTCTTCTCCTTCCTCCTCCTCCTCCTCCTCTTCCTCCTCATCATCCTCACCCTCATCATCACTGCAGAAGGTGAGTTTGCTAAAGCAAACCCTCCCTGCCCAGGGGCCCATGCTGGCTTCAAGGCCCGGCTCTGTGAGCCCATAGACCCCAGGTGGGCAGGCGGAGCAGAGGCTCCCAGGGTGGGGACACCTGGGTCACCGGGGAGCCCATCATTCATTTCTCATCACCCAGGGAGGCCTATTCTGCAGACAAGGAAGAACCAGATCTCATCCCTGTCCCAAAGGAACGCACTGTCTCACTGGTGAGACAGAGAAAAAGAAGATAACTGTATGTCACAGCTGGGGCCCAGAGCTTGGCAACAATACTGCCCAAGCTGAGATGCCCAGGACCATGCCACCCACATCTCACTGACCACAGGAAGCTATGGTTGGTGGGGAGAGGTGGGACTTTCCCTGCCCCCTGAGGAAGGCTGTTCCATTTCCCCAGGAGCTCAAGAGGCTCATCTTTGAGCCCCCAGTTCCTAGTAGCAGCACAGGGCCTAGTGCTGAGGGGACACAACGGAGGATCTGACAAGTGAATGAAGCCGACACAGATATTAGAGGGGCGAGGGAGATGGGTGCTGATGCCCCGAACCAACTCTTGTCCACGTGGAGGAGGCAGCCCTCCACCCATGCCTGCCTCCATGTGGGCTCTGCAAATCCAGGAATCTCTAGCTCTCTTTCATCAATCTCCTCCTTTCTAGAGTCAGTCTCCAACACTGACTGATTTTTTTTGTTTTTTCAATTTATTTTTTAATTTTTTAATTTTATTTATTTATTTTTTCCCCCAAAGCCCCAGTAGATAGTTGTATGTCATAGCTGCACATCCTTCTAGTTGCTGTATCTGGGACGCGGCCTCAGCATGCCCGGAGAAGCAGTGCGTCGGTGCGCGCCCGGGATCCGAACCCAGGCCGCCAGCAGCGGAGCGCACGCACTTAACCGCTAAGCCACAGGGCCGGCGCCAACAGTGACTGATTTTAAGAACAATCCTGAGCCACCTGCATCGCTACCCTGGCCTCACCACTACCCCCCCTTACCTGGCAGCATCAGATCAACGGTCGTCCCTTCAGAGGCCTCCCCACCTCACCCGCTCTACAGGGTGACCATTCTCAGCCCCTTATCTGTCCTTTTGCTGAAAGTACAATAACTGAATTATTCTGTCTCGTTTCCTGATCCCCCGCCCACTACAGTGAGGTCCCGTGAGTCAGAAACCTTGACTGTCTTCTTCCCACACCCCTAATGTCCAGCACAGCAACTCACACATAGCAAGGGCTCAACCAATGTTTTTAGAATAAACAAAAGTAGAAACAAATGGGCCATGACCTGGAGTTCCTACCTGAGGGACGCCAGCACCTTGGCCATGTTGAAGCCATCCAGCACCTCCTGGAGCTGCTCACAGCCTTCTTCTCCCAGGGTGTTGCCTGCTCATGGGGGAGGGAACAGAGGGTCAGGACGGGCACCAGGGCCCGCCCTGCAGGCCTGTGCCAAGGCCACCACCCCTGTTACCATTGAGGTCCAGTTTCTCCAGCTCAGCCTTGTCCGCCACGGCCTCGGCAACGGCCAGAGCAGCATCTCTCTTGATTTCACAGAATGACAAGTTCAGCTCCTAAAATTAAGAGGGCCTACTCTGAAACCTCCATTTCCCACAGAGGGTAAGGCAGGCTCTGTCCTCCAGCTGGGCAGAGTAACACTAACGACAAAAATAATGCCATTTCCCCAGCGACAGGCCAGCTACTCAGTGTGTTTACTTGCACTATACTATACCGACCTACGTCGCTCCCCTCCTCCCATTTTAAAAATGAAGAAACTGTGGCTCAGAGAGGTGACGAGACTTGCAGAAAGAAAATCAGAGAGGCAGGGATGTGAAAGAACTGGGCTATGAACCCAGCCCCACCCGCCTTTGAAGACCAGACCCCCTGCCACCCCCCACACACACCGCCTCTACCACCCATGGCGGCTACCCCCGCATGTGGGGGAAGCCTAGACCCCGGAGCGAAGAGGGCAGCAGCCGGGCCGGCACCTTCAGCTTAGGCAGGCCCCCGCGGACGGCATCTGCGATGGCAACGGCGCCCTTGGAGCGCACCAGGCAGTCCCCGAAGTTGATCACCTCCACCTGCCGCAAGGACTTCAGGGTCTGCAAGGAGGCGAGGGCCAGGGTGAGGCTGCCAGCCTCACCCCAGCGCTCCGCGAGCTGACGGTACACCCTGTACCAGCCACCACACCCTGTCCTCTTCTGTACCCAGCCTGGCCTCCTCAGCACCTCGTCAGTTCTCGTCATCCCCCCACTGGCCTCCCGACCTCTGGCTAAACCCCCTCCACCCCATTCCCGTGTCACAGCTAGAACCCTTTTCCCCGAAGCACAAATCTAACCACATCACGCCCCTGCTTAAACCCTCCATGGCTCCCTATTATAGGAGACAGCCTCAAGGAGTCAGCAAGGCCACAGGGTCCTGCCTCCCACTCTCTGCCTCCTCCAGCCCCCAAACACACCTTGAACCCTGGTCACTTCAAACCAGGACCAATCGAGCAAGGCCCCCTCCCATCTCTGGGCCTTCCCACATGCTGCTGATCCCTTTGCCTGAAACACCCCTCCCACCCTCTTTGTCCAAAGAAGTCCACTTGTCCTGTACAACTTAGCCAAAATGTTGCCTCATCCAGGAAGCCTGCCCTAAGTCTGATTTGAACTTCCTTTGTGCTCCCCAACACTTGCACACATCTCTGCTAACACCCCACAGCAGCAGGACTAACCTTCTGTCGGGTCATGGAGCCCTGAGAGCCCTCCCACCCACAGGCCTGAACCTCAGCCAGCGACTATGTTCACGGCCCTGCACTGTCACCCATTAGCCACACCCTTCCCTCTTCGAACTAGGGGCTCCTCAAAAGCGGAGTCTTTGACTCAACTCTGCGTGGCCCACACTTGGTACAAGGCCGGGCACTAGACAGGGGCTCAATCAACAGCTGGAGAAAGAATCAATGAGGTTAACTACTCAGGCTGGAGCAGCTTTCCGTGTAGCCTCTGAGAACAAAACCAGCACCAACGGCTGGGGCTACACGGAAGCAGCTCAGGATGAGGGCGGTGCGGACACTCAGAGCTGCCCAAGAAGGACACAGTGAGCTGGTGAGATACGCCTTGTGCTGGACACTTTCACAGGGGTTGGACCCAAGGGGTGCACACCACACAGGCAGGGAGTGGGGCAGAGCAGCCACCCGCCAAAGGGTTCACTGCAAAGGCAGCAGCCAGACCCTGCCTACGGGGCCCGCCTCACCTTGGCCATGGCCACAGCGCCCTTCTCGGTGAAGGTGTTGTCGTTTAGGTTGATGACCCGCAGCAGGGGGTTGATGGCAAAAGCCTGGGCCAGGGCGGTAACGCCAGGGTGATTGATCCCATTCTGTGGCATGTGGACCTCCTCCAGAGTCCCGATGATCTGTGAGGGGCAAGAGGGAGAGGGCAGAGAGGTGGACCCCCGAGTGCCAGGGGCCAGCCCAGGGCCAGTGACATCCAGCAGGTGGGATGGCAGCACGGGCAGGGGCTTGTCCGTGGATGTTTTGGGGTTCTGGGCACGGCTGCATCTGACCCTCTCCACCACCTCATGAGGGAGACCTACCTGGGATTAGAATCTCCACCAGGTAGAGAAGAATAGGGATCAGAGAGGCTAAGTGACTTGCCCAGGGTCACGCAGCTCTGAACACAGGTTCCTTAGTCTGGTGTCCTCTGCACTGTGGGGATCCTGGGCTCTGGCCCCATAGTCGGCCATGGCCCTTCTCTGCAGAATGCAGCTCCACTTGGCCTTTCTCTCTTGGGGCACTCCCGCCCTATCTATACAGTATGACTGGCGGTCACGCCCTTTTTTTGGGGGTAAGGAGAGTCTCTCCTAACCCACCTAGCCCTTTTTCATCTGGCCTTTTGGCACCTCATTCTCTCCACCTGGAAGAGTTGGTTTCCTTATTTGTTGGCATTTTCTCGACAGGCTCACTCCTATGCATTCTACAGCTCTCATTGTGGATGCTTTCTCCCCCAGGAAGGCTTCCTGGATTCCCCCAGGCACTGTCTAGTACTCTTCCTATGTGCCCCCAGAGCACCCTGTCCCTATTCTATCACGGTGGTCATCATCCTGGAGCATCAAAGCCACCTTTTCTTGTCCACACCCCATCAGCCCCCAAGCTCTCCCGGAGAGGCCCACATCCCGATCTCCACTGCTACCTGGGGTGGAGGACAGGCCCGGTATAACTCTGTACCCAGGCACCTTCTGTTGTCCTGGGGCGCCCAGCACAGCATGGGGCGTTCACAAATAAATACAGGCAGGCCAAGTGAGGCACATTACCAGTCAGGGCTTCTACATATTTTCTGTGCCACGGGCCCTTCAGGCAGTCAGGTAAAGCCCCTGGGCTCTCTCCTCAGAATGTTTTTAAATTTTAAGATAAATTATATAGGATAACAAAGGAAACCAATTCAATTGGAAGACACTTATCAAAATATTTAGAAAAACCCCCAAACGTGTGCTGTAGTAATAGATGTAACTTCTTATTACGGCACTGAATAACGAGACCTAGGGGCAGGTCTACCATTGCCATAACCGTGATGTGAGAGAAAGATAAATATTTCTATACATCTGTAACAGCTATAACTTGACATGAACATATCTGTGATTTCTATCGGTAACAAAGTCACAGAAATTTCTAAAGATGCTGAGGTCTATTGTCTCTATTCACAATTGAAAGTAATACTACACTTTAGCTATGTTAGTGATAATTAGCATGCAATTTTCCCCCATACATGTTTAAAGACTCCCCGAATTCTATCCATAGACTAGTGGTATCCCACAGACCCCAAGTTAAGACCCCCATTCTAAGAGCACTAGACGACAGCTGCTGAAGGCCCAGCACGTGGAGGGAAGGGGTGCTGCGAAGCCATAACCTGTAACATCACGATGGTCACGAGGATGGTAACATGGGTCCCCCAGCTCCAGAGGAGGGGGCAGGAGCTCCCCTGCAGCCAGGGGTCCACTAAGACACAAGGCACTTCTCCCTGCAATGTGCCCCCTCTGCTGGAGGCAAGTGACCTTCAGCAGGTGGACCACCTTAAGTGGCAGGACCGTGGGGGACGCTGCTCTGGCGTGAGTACAGTTAATGCTGCTAGAACACTGTTTGCCAAAGAAAACATTTAAGTTAAGAGGAGGGGGACTGCGGCCGGACCGTGGCTTAGCAGTTGAGTGCGCACGCTCCGCTGCTGGCGGCCGGGGTTCGGATCCCGGGCACGCACAGATGCACCGCTTCTCCGGCCATGCCGAGGCCGTGTCCCACATACAGCAACTAGCAGGATGTGCAACTATGACATACAACTATCTACTGGGCCTTTGGGGAGAAAAAGGGGGAAAAAAAAAAAAGGAGGATTGGCAATATATGTTAGCTCAGGGCAGGTCTTCCTCAGCAAAAAAATAAGAGGAGGATTGGCATGGATGTTAGCTCAGGGCTGATGTTCCTCACAAAAAAAAAAAAAAAAAAACAAGAGGAGAGCAACAAATCCCACAGTTCTCAGCCCCAGGGGGCAGGCACAGCCCTCTCACAGAGCTCACCAGCAGGGACTCAGCAGTGTCCTGGGAGGAGGTGGGGGGCAGCTGGGAGTGGGGAGGAGAGTGAAGGGGAGGGGGCGGTAACGACACCCGAGCGTGCTTCATCCCGAGCGTGCTTCATCCCGAGCGTGCTTCATCCCAGCACCGGGGCCGCTGCTCCTATCTCCCTGTCTCAAGGGCAAGTCTGATCGTTTCCATCTCTGTGCCCTGCCCACTAGACGGGACTCTGACCCTCAGGGGTCCCTGCCCAGGCCAACACCATGCCAGGCTGTGGTCAGCACTCACACTGCTCTGACACCACCACCCCCGTTCCTGAGCCTTGCAGACATCACTCCCTGCTCCAAGCAGCCTCACAATCTTCTCAGACAGTGCTCCCAGGAGCCACCGCCAATTCACCTGCGGGGGTGGGTCACGCAACTTTCCAGATACGCGTGACAGGAACTCTGCCCCACTCTAAGAGGAGCTAGCAGGCTCAGAGAGGGAGGGCGACTCACCCCAGGTCTCTCAGCTAAGTTCCAGAGCTGGGATGCACACCCAGGTCTGTTGGCCTGCTAAGCTTAGCCAGCTTCAGTGCACGGTGGGGCAGGATGGGCAGAAACCACTCACCCCAAAAGCTTCTGCCAAGGCAGTGGCTCCATCGTTCTCCAGGCGGTTTCTGCCAGCCACAAAGACCTTGAGGGCCAGCGGCTTGCCTTGGGCACTGGATTTCCGGTGACACTCAGTCAGAGCAGCTGCCAGGATCTGCGGGGGAAATGGCCAGGAGCCCAGGCCTAAGGCAGGAGGCACTGGTCTTCAACATCCCACGCCACCCACTGGTGGTGGATACAGGGACAAAGAACTGTCCAAAAGCACAATGGTCACAGCTCACACATGCCCAGCACCTTACAGTTTACAAAGGGCTTTTACAGCTGCCACCTCATTTGTGCGTCCCACCACCCTGTGGAGTTTGGCCTCATGTTAGAGAAGGGGAGATCAAGGCCCAGAAGGAAGGGAGGCACTAACTGAGTGGCCAACTTTAAGACAGGTCCCAGGGAAGGGGTTTCACAGCTCACTTTACTGTCATAAGCCCTCTATCAGGTGGGGACCATCATGATTCCCACTTTCCAGCTGAAGAAACTCAGGTTCAGAGAGGGACAGAAACTTTCCTGTGGTCGCTAAGCAAGTGGCAGACCCTTGACCAGAACCCAAATCTTCTGGCGTCTCTGCCACAGTCCCCAATGCCTAAGGGGAGCTGGTCAAGGAGACCAAGGCCCCGCCGCACCCATCTGATACACACCTGTGCCCAGGCCAGCCACACAGCAGAGTCTCAGCTGCTGGGGGTAAAAGCCTAAGACCCAGTTTGTCCTGTCCTTGGTGTGGTGCCAGGACGTAGCTTCTGCCCTGGTGACACCACAGAGCAAGTGTTCAAAAATGTTGGTTGGTCGGTGGGAATTGGAGAGACAATGGAAAATAAGATATAAAAGATTCACAAGAAGTGCAGCAGGACAGAAATAACATTCATAGAGCATCTTATAGATCCTGGGCACTCGCAGCAAAGGGACCTTCACACCTTCTCATTTTAACCGCAAAACGAGCCTGAGGCGCAGGCGGTATCAGCCTCTCTACAAACAAGAAAGCTGAGGCTCAGAGAGGTAAGTGAATCGGCCAAGGTCCCACAGCAAATACCCAGTGGAGCTGTGACTGGCAGGCGGATCAGTCTGAATGCACACAGCTCTCTGTCCTTGGGGGAACATAAGGGTGTGACTCCAGGTGGTGGCGGAACATAGGGCCACATCTCACTCCCATCTGAATCCTCTGGGCTCCTATTCCCATGGTGCGTGGCCCACGGGCCATGTTAATATGTTCTGGCTGGAGGGCATGGATTCCAAAGGAGCTGGAGGCTTTGGTTATACACCCAGGACCCGGTGCCTGCAGCTCCCAGGAGGTGCAGCTCAGAAGGCCAGCACCCAAAGGTCTTACCAAATCAGTGGTGAGGGAGGTGACAGACAACTACCAGTCAGATTCTGAAGTGGTGCTGGTCTGTCCGGGAGGCCCCTGGCCCGAGGGTTCAAACCTCCACTCCAGGCAAGGGCGAGGCCAGACGACCACCAGCCAACCGGGGAAGCTCGGAGAGCCTCAGTTCCCCAGGACTGCCACATGGCGGAGATGAGACGGATGGAAAACTGAGGCGGTTTACAAACAGGACTCTGGCTCTCCCAGCACATCGTACTCCAGGTTGCGCTGGACCTGTTTTATGCCTTCACATACACACAGCTTATTGCCCAATCAGCCTGGGGGAGGGCTGGCTGACACGGACATGGGAGCGTGCCCCTGCTCTCCTTCCCACCTCTCTCCTCCTCTGCAGGGAGGCCACTCCGGCTCCTCAGCCTGTGGCACTGTGAGCATCACACAGGTTCATCTTGCTGCTCTGACAGAGCCGCATGGACCCAGGTTTAAATCCCACATCAGTCCCCCACTAGCTATGTCACCTGGGGCACTCGACCCAAGATCTCTCAGCCCAAGTCTAGTTATCTGAACAACTGGGGTGGGAAAGTTAAGGTAAAGCACAGAGATGTCCCCAGTCGCTAGCAGTTCCTGTGTCCCAGCCCCTTTCTCCTTTTGGTCAGAAGATGAGGAGAGGAAGGGGGACAGGAAAGCAGACTGGATCTTAGCCTTTCTAGAATCTAGGCCTAAAAGACACAGGTTGGACGAAGAAGAGAATAAACAGCGCTGGCCTCCCTTGGTGCAGGCTCTGGGAAGAAAAGAGCCTCCTTTCTACACTGACCAGCCTGACTTGCTGGCAGGACAACAGAGACGGCGGAACAAGGCCCTGTCCGGGAACAAAGGTGAGCTGTGACCTGGGCTCCCTCCTCACGCACAAATTCCAGGCCTCATGTAGCTCTGCCAGTTGTTCTGAGGGTACAGCAAGTCTTGGGATGCTCCAAGCCCCGCATTTTACAAAGCCAGTAGGTCAGAGTATGTATGCAACACTGCCTCCATGTTGCCAAGGCAACATAAGAACTGGAGATGGTTGCCTGGCAACCGCATCTTCCTGAACTCCATCTCTTCTCCCCACTGGCCACAGGCTGCTGCCTTTGAGGCCTTTCTCCTTTCAAAAGAAAAACAACAGGCCAACCAGCCCAGACAGTGGGTAGTCAAGGACATATACTTCAGACAAATGTAAATGTAGCAAGGGACTGGGCTGGGAAGGAGGGTGAGAGACAATGGGGACGTGGGGGAAGGGGCCACTACACCCACCTTGCCGCCACCAATGCCCATGCCACAATTGTTGAGCTTCAGTTCGTGCAGGGTGAAGCAGGCGGAGCTCTTGAGCAGGGCCTCGAAGCCTCGCACACCATCAGGTCCGAATGCATTGTCACTTAGGTCCAGTTCTACCAGCTGGGCCCCGGCTGTGATGAGTCCCTCCCCTAGTGAGATCTGGACACAGAGGAAGCTCACGTCAATTTCAGACACCTACCAGGTGCTGCTCCTATGCCAGGCCCTGCCCTCAGGGGGCACCCTGGCTAGTGCAGAACTGGGAGAGACATAGACTATTTCAGTACAGAACTGTGTTATATACTCAGGACCAGAAACCCTGCAGAGGGCTCTAATTCAGCTGGGGCATGGCTCCTGGTGTACATTGGGTGGGGTCAGGGAAGGCTTCCTGTAGGAGGTGGCACTTGATCTCAGTCTGGATGAGAATCAGACAATCAAATATGAGAAGATTCCAGCCAGCAGTAAAATCATGAGCAGAGAGAGGCAGAATGAAGCAGCATGCATGTGCCTGGGGCAAGCAGTTGGTAGACTCCAGAAGAGGTTGAGGCTGGAAGGAAAGTGGGATTTGGCTAGAAGGGAAGCAAGGAGTCAAATCAGGCAAGAGTCTTGAACGCCAAGCCAAGAACTGTGAACTTGAGCCTGAGGGCAATAGGCTTTCAGGGGGACGAGGGACAGGGAAGACATATCCCCCAACCCTGAGGAGAGCAGACTGACGGGCAGAAGGAGGCTGGAGGCTGAGTGCCCACCCAGGAGTGAGAGACAGTAATCCAGGCAACAGAGGAGGATGCTGGCTGGCTGGTGTTGTCGGAGACAAAGGAAAGGAAACCGAGCCTCAAGTCGGTTCTGCAGACCTCACAGAGGGTGGGAGACCTGCAGAAGCTGGGGATTCACTGGATGTGTAGGAGAGAGGGAGGCACCAGAGTTTCTGGCGGTGACTAGGCAGATGCACATCTCCACGCCACAGCCCAGGATCAGATGTGGCAAGAAGATGCTGAGCTCTCCTGGGAACTTACTGGGCTGGGGATACCTACAGTCCCCCAGGAGAAATGGGAGAGGAGAGGAGGCTCCGCCGGACTGGGGGCAGAAACGGAGCTGGGCGTAGATGGGGCGGGTGGCTCACGGCGGGAGGAGCGGGGAGAGGAGACACTGCCCTCACCTGCACCACGGACAGGGCAGCTGAGACAGTTTCCTCTGTCCTCCCCATGCTGAATCAACAGTGGGGGCCAGTCTCTGGCTCCCTCGCCTGCAGGAGAAGGCCCAGCCCCCGGTTACGGGGCCCCACCTGACCTCCAGCCTCAAGCGGCCAGAGCTGCTCAAACCCTCTGTGCCCACTCCACCTTCCCTGCACTTCATGCCTTTCCCCAACCCCAATTCTCTCATCCCCATTCTGAGATGCATTATTCTCACTAGTAATGTGGGAATAAGAATACCTCCCTCAAAGTTTGAGGAAATTAAATGCTAAAACTTAGGTTAAATAATGTGCACGGAGGCCCACAGCTAGAACCCAACAACTAAGTTTTCTTCACCCTCTTTTCTAACTTGAAATCCTTTTACTTACAGTCACCCAAATGAATTTACTTAACCTGCATTCTAAACCCTAGCCTCACCTGGTTCTTGTTCACCCTTTGAGGCTGGCTGGTAACTAACCTGACCAACTCTCTGAGGGCTTCCTCGATCCCCTACCCAGAGAGCACTCACTCCAGGGTCCCCATTAGGGCACAGCCTGGATGACCCTTAGTTGTTTGCTGGACTGAGGTGCATGAGAAATGAGGGTGGTGCACGGGCGTCTCAGAAACCCTAGTGCTGGCTAGATGAACGGAGGCCTGAGAAGGCAGCCCCAGCACAACCAGGGTGAGGGCCTCAGTAACATGGACGATCACACCAATAACTGACCGAGAACCCTGAGGGGACCCCGTGTGCTAGGCCTCGTGCTAGGAGGACACACTGAGAGGCTGCTCATTGCCAGCTCTGCCTCCTTCCCTTGAGGCCCAGGCAAGCCGTGTTCTGTTCTGTTCTGTCACACACACACACCCACAGACACACATGCCGTGCGTGGCTGGGAACTTGACTCAAGCCAACTGAGCACCAGCAATGGGGAAATGGAGGCAGAAGGAAGCCACCCATGATGAGAATCAAAGCAAAAATAGTGGTATGGAGGGGCCGGCCCGGTGGCACAAGCGGTTAAGTGCGCGCACTCCACTGCAGCGGCCCGGGGCTCGCCGGTTCGGATCCCGGGCGCACACCGACGCACCGCTTGTCAGGCCATGCTGTGGCGGCGTCCCATATAAAGTGGAGGAAGATGGGCAAGGATGTTAGCCCAGGGCCAGTCTGCCTCAGCAAAAAGAGGAGGATCGGCAGACGTTAGCTCAGGGCCGATCTTCCTCAAAAAAAAAAAAAAAATAGTGGTATGGAGCAAGTGAGGGGCTGGAGGGAGATGGGGTGGCCACAGCGGGCTGTGTGCAGACTGAGGTTGTGAGGGAGCAGAACCTCATGGTGCAGGGGAGGAAAGTGCCAGGACAAGACAAGTAACCATTTAGGGAGCAAAATCCACAGTGGGGCCAATCCACACAGCTCAAGAATGAACCCAGTGAATCACTGGGCCTCCCTGTCGCACAGGGTCCCTGACTCCCACCTACCCGGCAGGACACAGGGCGGATGCTGTGCTTGCCTGACATTCATTTCAGCATCTCAGTCACCCAGAGGGTGAACAAAGTGTGAGAAAAAGTCCTGGGGATTGCCAAAGGGGACCCTGTGCCCAGGGGAGGGGAGCAGCAGCCTTGTTCACTTACCAGGGCTGGTGGGATCTCGGACCGCAGCCTCCCCGTGAACATGTCACTCCAGTGGCATCGCTTCGGAAGGAGGAAGAAAAGAAGAGTTAGCTAAGACCCTTAGAGGCGGCCTGCAGGCAGCACCTCATCCTTGTGGACTTGGACCACCAAGCACTACAACACTTAATTTGGGCTGGACCAGCTCTGGCTGAAGCTGGGGGGACCTGGAGGCCCCCAAGGGCCATGGTGGCTCAGGAGAAGTGTTAGGAAAACCCCTGATTTGTCCAACCCTCTGGTTTTCCAGAAGGGAAATCAGGCTGAGAGGGAGGAGACTGGCCCCTGGTTCCATGGGAAGGCAGTGGTAGGACCAAGCCACCAGACTCCTGACCCAGTGCTCCTTTCCAACACCTGTTTCCCACACGGTGTGGGCTGCAGCAACATGTGACATGATTTTGAGTGGCAGAGGAATAGAAGAGTAAACAATACAGGATCCAGCAGCGAGGAAGTTACTCTTTTTTCAAGTCTCATGACTCTTCCGAGGCTTTAATACGCTCATATGCACTGGGAGTCTAGGAAAGGGAGCATGCAGTGACATCCTCCTGACGTTTTGAACGCGATACTCCACCTTTCTCACAGAGGATCTTGAAGGAGTGGTGTCCGTGGAACCCACTCTGGGACACACTAGAAGAATCTTTGTGTCGACCAAAGAGGGGCACCACTTGGATCTAACCTTTAAGAAGGAACCTGCCATTCAGCCATGAGGAGTGCAGTCAACCAGCTGCTTCTGGCTGCAGCACCTTCCCAGTCCGCCACAACATCTAAGCGGAGGCCTGGGCATCTCTGCCCAACACAAGACTCCTCTGTACTGGGCAATCTTTGCTCTGGAGCTCCTCACTGGGCAGGCTGAGCATTTGTCAGAACAGCCTCAGCCCGAGGCTCTCACTGCCCAATTCTGCGCCCTTCCCTCCTCACAGGTGCCAGATCTGCATCGCGAGCTGAAGGCTCTCCCTGGCCAGTTCCCTGCTTCTCCCTTTATCTTTCACACATGGTACCTGATACACCTCTTACATTCCTAACACCATTTCAGCGTCTGTTACTGGAGGACCCGAATGGACACATCACGTGGAGAGAGGGGCTCTGGCCAGTGCTGTACGCTCCAGGGAGGCCAGAGCAAGAGGAGCTATTGGTGGTGACCACCAACAAGGCAAGGGCCCGAGGGGGTCTGGAAACAGGTAGGGGCTGTGATAGTGTGAGCGGAAGCTTGTCCCCAACCAGTCTGGGCCTGCTCGCCCTGAATATCTCACCTTCAACTCAGACTTCTTCTCCAAGGCCTTGGCGATGACCCTGGCTGCTTCCACACCCACCGTGTTGCCCTCCAGGCGCAGAGCCTCTAAGCCGTCAAAGTCTTCAATCTCTTTAATCACATCCTTGGCTGCCCGGGGACCAAAGAACAAAACCTTAGACTCTTGGAGTCACGAACAGCTGAGGCAGGAGAGAGCTCAGCCAGCACCTTGTCCCTCACAACTCCGATGGCGATGGTGTACCCACTGTGTGCCAGGCCCTGGCTTACAAAGGAGAACCAGACAGGCTCACAGTCTAGCAGGGGACACGGCTACACAGACAATTTCTCCGTCGTGAGTGTTAAAACAAGGCACGTACGAAAGGCTTGAGAGCCGAGGGAAAAGAGAAACTGGCTGCTTGGGGCACCTTGTGGGTGGTGTGTGTGGAGCCTCCCAGAACGGAGGGTGCACCAGGCCAAGCAAGGAAATGGAACCCAAATCAGAGGGCCAGCAGGCATGACAGCACGAAGGCTTTCAGTGTTAAATGATTCATGTGTGGGATGCTCGTTACTGTATTGTTTTATTATGATGAAAAATTCCAAACAAACAAAACGTCTACCAACAGAGGATAGGTTTAATTCACTGGGGTACATTATACAAACAGTTACACTAATATCATGATAAATGGTGACGCAGGTGTTTACTTGACTTGGAAAACATTCATGTTATAGTGATAAGTGAAAAATGAGATTATCCAATGGGGTTTGGTCTGATCATACTTCTAAAGTGTTATATGTATTCGCGTGCACACGCGCGCGCACACACACACGACAGGGTCTAGGATAGAAACCAAATAATAAATAAAGCAGGTATCTCTAGGTGGTAAGATTATGGGCGACTCTGAGTTCTTCCATCATATGCTCAATATATTCTCAATGTATCAGGTTACAAAGCAGCTTTTAAAGTATCTGTAAGTATGATCCCAATTATTAAAAGAACAAACAAAAAAAAGGAATGCAGCTACATTTAAGGGAAAAAAAAAGACTGGAAAGAAATGCACTAAAATTAACAGTAGTTACATGCGTGAGCTGTGTGCAGATATATTTTTTTCCTTCTTTCAATGTTTCTGTAATCTATAAGGAGCATGTATTAATACTACGATCTGAATAAAAACACACAGGCTACATGAAACAATTCTAGTGCGGCTGGCACAGGACGGAGTGGGGTGATGTGGTAGGGAAGAGATGGAGATGTGTATGGGAAATAAAAGGTGAACTTGACCTTCTAGGCTACAAAGACCACAGAAGGGTTTTCAGAAGGCTTGTGACTTGCAACATGTAAGGGCTCCCTAAGAAGCTGCCCAAGCCAGGGGCCTTTGTGCACATCTTTCTCCCTCTCCCCTCTGCTGCAGCAGCACTTCCTCAGAATCCCTTGCTAACCTCCAACCAGGTCAAATCTCTACTCCACAGGTTTCCCAGCCCCCGATCTCTCATGTGCAGCCTGTGACAATTTTACACTCATCTGAACGATTGCCTGATCATTACATGGAAACTTTATTAACACCATGTTCCTCACTGGGTCACGATCTCCGTGAGGAAAGGGACTCTCTTTGCCTCTGCTTGTCACATCACCCAGAGATAAGCACTTAACATTCTCCACCGCATCTAATAAAGTAGTTACTGTTACGTCTATTTTACAGTTGGGTAAATTGAGACACAGAGAGGGTAAGTAAATGCCTACTAAGGTCACACAGCTAAAAGTGGAGACCAGCATTGATTTTCCATTTCACGACAAGGAAGGCTAGACAGGTATAAGCCACCACTTTCTAGAAGGGGAAGCTGAGGTTTCAAGGAATGAAGCAACTCTGCCCAGGAGTTCAGGGAAAACAGCAGAGTCGGGCTTTTGGACTGGTGTTCCAAAACTGAACCTATGTGCTCCTCCCCAAACCCTGGCTTCTGTGCACAACCATGGACTTTAGGCAGCACCTCCCCCCCAGAGAAGCCCCTCCCCCATCCCCCCTCCCGGGTGACCACTCTGGAGCTCCAACTTCCAGTTGCCCAGGCATCCTCTGCAGCTGGCACCCAGGGCAAGGGCTGGGATGACCCTTCACCCTTTGGAAGACCTGCTCCAAAAGAGAGCTCCCTCTAACATCCCAGGACTGGCCAGGTCACTGAGGAGAGAGGAGGCTGCTCAAGGGAATGCTTATGTAGCCCTTAAAAGCAAGGTGACAGAGAAGCCAGGGCCCCAAGGGAAGACTTAACCTCTGCTGTCTAAGTGCCATAAGCACAGAGATACATAGGTACTGCGCTTCCCACAGGTTCAGCCCTGGGGAGAGTCACAAGCACAGAGCGAGCCTGGAAGGAAAAGCACCCAAACGGGAAGAACAGGGACAGCAGAGGGTGGAGGTCACAGCCTCTCTCACTTGGTTTTCAATCCAAATAGAGCTAAACGTAACTTAAAAACAGGTTAGGGATGGGCCCCAACCAGCCCTGAATAACCCACTGTCCTGAGGCTGTGCGGCAGGGATTTCTCTTTTCAGCCTCTACCACCCCACAAAGTAACAAGTTCCAGGTGTTTATTACTCTGCCATGTAAAGCAGAAAGGCCTCTCTTTGGTCCTTAAATGACTTACTGGGGAGAGAAAAGGGCCTTGTTCTAATCATCAGCTTCATGGCCTCCTCGCACAGGCCTTTGGCCTCCCCAGACCACGCCAGCTCACTCCCAGCCAAGATGGAGTCCCTTTCTGGGCCCATAATTAGGCCGCCAGGCTCCTCAGCGCAGCATTCAAGGGCCTCTGCCCTGGGCTCCCTCGGGGAGTCTGCTTTCTTTTCTCCCAAGCCCACCCTATGTGTCTCAGCTCCTGTGCCTAACTCACGTGCTTCTCCCTGCCTGCAGTGCCCTTTCTCCTTCAAATCTTCTTCAAGGACAGTTCAAACACCACCTCATCCAGGGAAACTTCCTGTGCCCTCCTAAGGTAAGAGTGATCCCTTTCCCCCACCTTACTTCCCAGAGCTTCTCTTCACGTCTCTCGGAGCATGTTTCACCCCTGCCTCCTGTTACTTATTTGGGTACCTCATTCCTATTCCAGGTTAGGAGCTTCTCAGGGGCTGGGGCTGTGAGCTGGGCATCCCTGGTGACCTATAAAACGAGAGGAGGCACAGCCAGCCTGTGCTGGTGAAGTGGGTATCTGCACAGACTTTAGGGCCAAACCTGAGCTCTAATCCCAGCTCCACTACTTACAGCTGTGCCCTTAGGCAAGTCATATCACCTCCCTGAGCCTCAATTTTCCAATCTGCAAAATGGGGATTTATTTAATGAATGTGCTATTAAAGGCTACTCATTGAACACTGTCTCAGAGTGTTAAATGCCATATAAATAGTATCTCAATTTATCCTCACAAAAACCCTTGACGTAGGTGTCATCCCCATTTTGCAAATTCATGGGGCTGGCCCAGTGGCATAGTGGTTAAGTTCACGCGCTCCACTTTTGTGGCCTGGGGTTCGTGGGTTCAGATCCCCGGCACGGACATACACACTGCTCATCAAGCCATGCTGTGGCAGCATCCCACATACAAAATAGAGGAAGACTGGCACAGATATTAGCTCAGCGACAATCTTCCTCAAGCAAAAAGAGGAAGATTAGCAACAGACATTAGCTCAGGGCCAATCTTCCTCACCAAAAAAAAAAAAAAAAAGCAAATTCATGCTTACTGAACTGAGCTGAATGTCTACTGAGAAGCACAGGAACAGGGCTTCAGCTGTACCTCTGTTAAAATCCTGGCTCTGCTGTTTACCAGCTGTACGACCTTGGGCAAGTTAAGTCTCAGAAGTTCTTTTTCTTTATTTATAAAACAGAATCATTTCTACCTCCCTCCCTCAGGGATAATGCAAGGATCAAGAGTGATAAAAGCACAGGGAGGAACTCTAAGTTTTAATGCCCTGTAGAGACGTTAGGAACATGCATCACCACACTCCCAGCAACCCAAGGACTCGAGCAGTCTCTGACGCAGCAGAGGGGAACAAGCCTGCCTACACACTAAGAGAACCAGGCAAGTCCAGACCAGTTTCCCCGATTGGGCCAGAACCTCAAGAGGCCTTATAAGCACTGATGTAGGTGCCCTCACTTCCAGATGCCAGGAGATTATTCAGAGGTGATCAGTGCCAGCCATGCATTGGCCAGGGATGGAAAGACGGGGTCTGCATTCTGGTTTCTAGCTCTCTCCAGTTCTGGTGCTGGTATACAGACAGGAGCATCCATCCCTCTCCCAGGGGCACCCAGTTGCATGGACCAGAACCTCCCAAGAGAGCCTGGGTTGCTGTTTTAACAACATGAGGCTCCATGAAGGCCTCAGCCCTGGGGAAGGCGACAGGTATTCCCAGAGCAGCTTGGGATCATAGGGGTGTAGGTAGGGGTGGATCTGAAGTAAGAAGTCAGGGGCTATATGTTGGGACTGCCGCTAACTGTAGTCCCTCATTGCCTACCATCCCCTCCAAGAGATAAAGGGGCCCTTCCCACCTGCCAGCCTGACCTGTCACCGGCAGGGATGCCCACCACAAACAAGAAGACTGGCAGGGGGCCAGCCCCGTGGCTTAGCGGTTAAGTGCGTGCGCTCTGCTACTGGGAGCCCGGGATTCGGATCCCGGGCGTGCACTGACGCACCGCTTCTCCGGCCATGCTGAGGCCGCGTCCCACATACAGCAACTAGAGGGATGTGCAGCTATGACATACAACTATCTACTGGGGCTTTGGGGGAAAAATAAATTAAAAAAAAAAAAAATTATAAGAAGACTGGCAGGGAAGCCTGTGTGTGCTCATGGGCAAACCATCTTTGAGCCTCACTGTTAGATAGGCCCAATGATACCTCACAGAGCTGCTAGGACAAATAACGTCATGTAAGGTAGCTCAAAGAGCCTCATGAGCATTAGACTAAGTGCTCATTCTCGCACTCCCTTTCCTTCCCGGGGCCAGCCCCCGCAGGAACTCACCATCTTCTGCAGTGTTGAGCTTGAGGCTCTTGCCTTTGAAACTCAGCTGTCCCCCGGCCACCTGGGTTTTGGCTAGCGTCTCTGCCAGCTTTGCAATGTCTTCAGAGGCCATGTTGGCCACGTTCGTAGGCTCCTCCCGCAATCTGCAAACTGAGGAGGCCAAAGTTTCATTAAAAGAGAGGAGTCGGGCCGGCCCCATGGCATAGCGGTTAAGTGCATGCACTCCACTTCGGCGGCCCAGGCTTTGCAGGTTCGGATCTCACGCGCACCGACGGACTGCTTGTCAAGCCATGCTGTGGCGGCATCCCATATAAAGTAGAAGAAGATGGGCACAGATGTTGGCCCAGGGCCTGTCTTCCTCAGCAAAAAGAGGAGGATTGGCATCAGATGTTAGCTCAGGGCTAATTTTCTTCACCAAAAAACAAAACAAAACAGAGGAGTCTCCTGGGGCCCCCTGGTTGGGAAAGGCAGGATAAGACATCAGCCTGACCCACCTCCTCCTGCTATGGAGACCCCAAGAGCTAAACCACTGGTAGAAATGAAAACAGCATTAGAGAAGGAACAGTCTAGAAAGGTGGAGAAGGTAGCAAGAAAGCAGAAAAATCATGTTTAGCCTCTGAAGAGTTACAATTTCACTACACGTCCTCCTCTGCCAACTGCGCCAGCTGGGACACCTAGCAAAGCCATGTAAAGTTGCCCAGTTCCTGGGCCCCCAGTGAACAGCACCTGAGTCCCAGGCCCACAGCTGCAAAGAGTCTGCCTCAAGCACACACCTGTCTGATCATCTTGACTGCTCTCTGTTTGAGGGTCCCATTCCTCAAACAGGACATAGATGGCTACGGGATCCAGGTCGTCCATCCCAGAGAATGCCCCACCACCCACGCTGACATGACTCCGGGGGTGGGGCCCAGGGGTCAGCCCACTGCACGTCTGGTTTCAACCCTGGCCAGGAGACTGGGCAGCGCATGGCAGCCAGACCTCAAGGGCTCCTAGGAGACCTGAGATCTCTACATCACAACAGTCACCATCACAATAGACCAGGGGCAGAGCTGCTGGAAAAAGGAGCTTCCAGCCTGGAGCTCAGCAGACTGGAAGAAAGGACCACTCAGTTTTCCCAAAGAGGAAATGGCAGGTGATCAACAGAGACCAAGAAAGACTGATACAGGGACAGAACCAGGAGGTGCCCACCGAGATGACTTCTTATCCAGAATGCCTAATCCCCGAATCTACTCATCAAGATACAGTTGTGATAGCTCCCCACCCTCCTACTCCCGCAGGCTTCCTCTGGGCTCAAACAGCCAGGTTCCCACTCCCTTCTCCTTACCTGAATCCTCACCACCCTGGTTTGTCTGTCTATACGTCTTTAGCAATATGCATGAATTATTCTTCTAGGTAAGGAGACGTCCATTCACTCATTTAACAAACATTTATTGAGTACTACTGTATGCTGGACATTGTTCCAGGTAGCAGGAGTACAGCAGTGAATAACACAAAAACCCTGCCCTCTTCAAACATATGTTCTAAACAAGATATTTAGTATCTTAGCCAGTGATAAGAAGAAAAACAAACAAGGAAGGAAGGCAGTAAGAAATTTCTTGGAGGGGTTGCAATTTAAAGTAGAATAGTTAGAGAAGTTATTATTAAGAAAGAAACAAAAACTTGACAGATATCAGGGATTGGGCCATGCAGATATCCGGAGGAAGAACATTCTTGCAAAGGGAACAGCAAATGCAAATGCTGTTGTGGGGGATGGGGGTGGTTTAGAGGTAATGCAAGGAGGCCAGGGGGGCTGGAGCCCAGAGAGGGATGGGGAAAGGAGGCAAGAGATGAGAAAAGAGAATTAACAAGAGGACTAAGTCACAAAGACCATTTTAAGAACCATGGTTTTTACTGTGAGTGACAAGGAGAGCCACTGGAGCGTTTCTAGCAGAGGACAGACGTGATCTGACGTTGTGTTTTTACAGGATCACTCTATCTGCCACATAAGGCCTGGCATTTAGAAGGTACTCCAAGAATGACGCGCTGAAACTGAATAAAAATTAGCCTGAAACCCCACCACCTCTTGCAGTTAAGCGATGGGACAATTTGAGGCTAGAAAAATGGTGGCGGGGCCTCTGATGGAATAGGAACACAGAACCTCTCAGCTGGAGTGGGGCCCATTCCTCAGACCAGTACACACACACACACGATCCACTTTAAAGACTAAGAAATCGAAGCACAGAGAGGTGAATTGATTTGTCCAAGGTTTGCAAAGGGTCAGCGGCAGAGCAAAGACAAACGGTACACACAGTCCTCTCCCTTCTTGGCAGAAGCGTCGCAGGCTTCCTTAGGCGCACACCCATGGCTCCTGCGAAGCGTTCGCAGTGACTCACGCCGATCCCAGGCCCTCCGCGGGGGTGGGCCCCTTGGCAGGCGGCGGCGAGGCAGCAACGCGCGAGTGCGGGCGGCAAATGACAGACGGGCAGCGCGAGGCCCATCTGGGAGCCCCGGCGGACGCGCACCGCCCCTAGTTGACACCGACGCTAACAGGAGACGCCACTGCTGGCAGCTGGGGCTGGGCGGCCCGGGCGACCGAGACGCCCTCTCTAATCCTTAGTTTCCCTGCTTGTGACAGGGGCCAGAGCCCCCCAGTACCCCCACTCCCACCCGCTCCGTACTGGGCCGTCGAAGGCTCAGGGGAGAAGGCCGGGAGCGCGCAGAAGGCGCTCAGGGGCGCCACGCCTCCCTCGCCCAGTTCCAGGGCGGCGCCGCCCCCGCCCCCATCCCAGGCAGGTGACGGGCAAAGGAAAGAGACCCCGACCCTACCGTGAACAGGCGGCGGCGCCGCCGCGTGGGGCGACACGAGCGCGCGCGTTCGCCCGGCGGGGCGGGGACTGATTTAGGGTCCGGGTCAGGTCAGGTCGGGGTAGCCGCCTCCGAGTCCAGCGGTCCCGATGCCCAGCCCGCTCGTCCGTCAGCTCTCCCGGCGGCTCTCGCCACTCGCCTCTGCCTCCGACACCACCTGCTCTCCGCACGGCGGCGGATGATGGCGGAGGAGGAGGATTTTGAAAGCCGGCAGTTTCTTTCCTTTGATTTGATTTGTTCAAGGCTCAGGCCGGCTTCCCTTCCCCCGCGCGCGTGGCCTGTCGGGCATGGTAGTCCAGTTCTCCAGCGCGGGCGCGGCAGCAGCGCGCTTTCGAACTACCAGTCCCGTGATGCACCGCGCTCCACAGCACCTCCGCCCGCTGCCTCTTCGCCCTCCCTGTTCGGCTTCTGGCTCTTTCTCGGGGAGACCACAGGGCGGCGTTCAGCCGCGAGCTCCCATGGAGACTACAATTCCCTTAATGCCTTGCGGCCTAGCAGTCTCAGCTTTTCCGAAAGGGTTAACGTTCACGTAACTTTATTGACAAGGCTGGTACTGTGGAAGGCATGCTGCTGGATCTTTTCAGCAAGAAATGGGTATCTATTTCCTGAAGGGAAAGCCTCGCCTGTTTTGACCCATGAAATTGAAAGGACATTCGAAGCCTTCCACATAAATAGCCACAAACTAATTGATAATTAAAAAGGGAAATAATAACCCTATAGTAGAGAAACTGCGACACCACCTTAACCGAGTGGTCCGTATTAACATCAATGACAGGACAAACTGACATCCATCGCACACCTTCCGATGTGATGCACTGAGAAGGACACAGCATCACCATCCAGCAGCAATGCATAAAATTAATTTAATCATGAGGAAACAGACAAACACAAACTGAGTCACGCTGCAGAGTAACTAGTCTATACTCTTCCAAAACTGTGTCATGAAAGACAAAAGAAAAGCTGAGGAACTGCTGCAGATTAAAGGAGACTAAAAAAACATGACAACTAAATGCAATACATGGTCCTAGACTAGATCCAGGAGTGGGGGGAGGGAACTACTATAAAGGGCAATATTGAGACAATTAGCAAAACTTGACTGTATATTAGATAATAGTATTGTATCAGTGTTAAATTTATTGATTTTTATTATTGTACTGGATTATGTAAGAGACTGCCCTTGTTCTTGGGAAATATATGCTGAAATAATTAGGGGCATGTCTGCAAGTTACTCTCAAATGGTTAAAAAAATGTGTACATATATTTATAGGGTGCAAATGTGGCAAACTGTTAATAATAAGTGAATCTGGGTGAAGGGTATTTGGGAGGGAATTTGAACATTTTTGCTACTTTTCTGTAGGTTTGAATTTTTTTTAGAAACACAAATAGCTTTTTTTTTTTCTTTTCACAAAGAACTTTTTAACCCTTATATAAATAACGTGTTCATTATAAACACTTCAACCAATACAGAACAGGATAAAGAGAAAGTAAACATTACCAGGAAACTCTAGCACCTAGAGATAATCACTGTCAACACGTGTGGCCTTCTTTTCCAAAGTTAACTCTCACAGCTCGGCCCACACACATGCTTTTGCTTCACCTGCGATTCAGAGTTAAATATATTATGTGCCAGATCCTTTCACACTCAGCTAATTTAATCTTTACAACCACAAAGGAAGTGGGCATCATTACCACCCTTCCCAGCACAGAGATGAGAAAAATGAACCTGGTTCACGGTTCACACAACTACTGAGATGTGAGTCCTCTCTTCACCCTCCCTCTCCTTCTCTGCCTACAAGGCCCATATCAAATGCCACCTCCTCTGGGAAGCTTTCCTACAGAACTCCAGTCAGAATAAGTCACCTTCTTCTGGGACTCCATAGCAAGCTGAAAGCCCCCTCAGCAGTTGGTCTGCGGCTCTGAGGGCTTTTTCACAGTTAGAGATAACAGTCTTGTTAACAGTATTCTTGGCAGCTTCCTTCTCAACCTGGGAGAGCCTCGAGGACAGGTACTGTATCCTTCTTGGCAGCATCCTCTCAGGGCCTCGCCTGTCATAGGTGCTTCAAGTTTCCTCATTTGAACTGGATTCCAGTCAGGGTCACCGGACATTTGCTTAAAATGATTCATCATCTGAGAGGCTGAAATGCTCCCAATCAGGCCCGATTCTATTCCTGTGCTGGTTACAGCTAGGACTGGTCAAATCAGTCTGATTTTCCTTGGGGTGATCTCCAGGCTCCCTTTTCCAGTTTTACTTCCTGAGACTTTCCCTGGCCCTCTGATGGAAACCTCCTGAAGGGGAGAGGAAGGCAGGTGGTAGGACATCTTAGACCATCTTCCCCTTCCTCGTCCAGCTGATGGATCATAGCGTTTTTCAGAACTGGAAGGGAATTCTTAGCAGAAACTCAATAGCCTTCAAGGGCCAAGGAGGTAATAGGAGGTAATGGGGGCCCGGCCAGGCTCGTGGAGAGCCAGAGAGTAGATGTTCTGCCTAAAAGTGTTCACATTCACAGCTAAAAATCACAAACCCAGCCTGACAGCACCCCTTAGCAATGCAGATTCCGTTTGGATCTAGATTTTATCTCAAAAACCTTTAAAATGGGGAGACTGGGTTTAAAAAGGAGAAGGGGGTTTGCACAGTGAGTCAGAAGAGTCCAGAACCATGAGTGTTTCCAAGCAACACATTTGTCATCTTCTCTCCCTCTCTCCTTCCTTTCTGCAACTCTCTTTCTCTTTCAAGTATCACCTGAGAGCTAGTCGGTTTGCCTGGCCCAAGAAGTGGAATCATTGCCTTTGTCAGATGGATAGCCATCTTAGGCCACCTCTTTCGTCTTTTCAACAAATGAAGAACTGAGGCCCGGAGAGGTCAAATAACCCACCCAAAATACACAGTAATTTAGAAAAGAGATAGTAGAAGCCAGATCTCTGGGACCCTTTTCAACACGCACACAAAACAAGTCACTTTGTGAGTGTGAGCAGGGTATGGGGGGAGAAAGGAGGGGGGGTGTTCCAGACCTTTCTCTCTCTGTTGTGCAGCTTTTTATAAAAGAATGTTTTGAAGAGAAAAGCAGGCTGCCTCTGATTAGTTTGGTTTACGTTAGCTGAGTGTTTTAAATTCCATTCTGGTGACTGAAAACAAACTTAATTGCCAATCGTAAATGGAATAAATAACAATATTTATGCTGGTTTCCTGAAGAGCTACCAAGGCTGCAGACTTGCCATTTAGTCAGATCAAAAACAAATGCCTGAAGTATGCCAGGCACGTGAGGAATGTGGAGAGAAATTCCCAAGGTCCAATCGGGTGCTCGCCTTGGGCCCCTGGAGAGAGGTGGGTGGGCCTGGCCTACTAGACTTGCAAGGGAGCCTGCCCCTTTATCCCCAAGGGTCACCTCCCCTGGTGGGAGGGGGTGGCTACATCATCTATTAAAGACAACTCAAACCACATTCTCCCCTGGGTTCAAGCCCAGGGCCCCCTTAATTATTTTTTTAACCTCCATAAACAACCATAATTAAAAGAATTCATTCACTCCACAAATAGTTATCAATCATCTACTATGTACCAGGCACTGTTCCAGCTTCTGAGAATCCAGTGATGAATGAAATAGGAAAGGATGGTGTCTGCTGAGGAGCTTCAATTCGAGTCTAACATTTATAGAGGGTTTCCCGGTACCAATTGCTTTTGGTAGATTATGTTCTCTTTTAATAATTCTTTTGTTCCAAAATGGAAATAATTTTTTAATGAAAATTGACAGTAATGTAAAAAACATTAGTATAAATGCAAAAGAGCATAAAGAAGAAAGTTAAAAATTACCTGTTTTGTTTTTAACCAAAATGTGATGTGGATTGATGGGTGGATGGATGAATATGTGAGAAAGCAAATACAGCAAAATGTTAACAATTGTATAGTTCTTTCAGCTTTCTGTATGCTTGAACATTTTCATAATAACATGTTGGGAACCATGTTTTATCCTCTGCATGTCATCTACTGTATTACAGTCTGGTGGCTATCTCAGTCTCTAAACTCCTGAGTCCTCCTCTTCTCTTTTTTTGAGTCACCTTCACCTTTTTTTTTTTTTTTTAATTTTTTTTTTTTTTTATTTTTTATTTTTCCCCCAAAGCCCCAGTAGATAGTTGTATGTCATAGCTGCACATCCTTCCAGTTGCTGCATGTGGGACACAGCCCCAGCATGGCCGGAGAAGCGGTGCGTCGGTGCGCACCCGGGATCCGAACCCGGGCCGCCAGCATCGGAGCGCACGCACTTAACCGCTAAGCCACGGGGCCGGCCCTCACCTTCACCTTTGAGAGTCTGAATTCTATGGACTGTTTCCCAGAAGAACGTATTATTTATTTGTTTATTTTTTTGTGAGGAAGATCAGCCCTGAGCTAACATCCATGCCAATCCTCCTCTTTCTGCTGAGGAAGACTGGCTCTGGGCTAACATCTGTGCCCATCTTCCTCCACTTTATATGGGACGCCGCCACAGCATGGCCCGACAAGCAGTGCCTCGGTGCGTGCCTGGGATCTGAACCCAGGCCGCCAGCAGCAGAGCGCGCGCATTTAACCGCTGTGCCACGGGGCCGGCCCCCTTATTTATTTTTTAATCACACACTTATCAATGCTCTGTATGCAGGAACTCACTTAATCTTCACAGTGACCCTGTGGAGAAAGTACTCTTACTATCCCCAACCTAAGCCTCGAGTTGTGCATCTATCTTCATGGTCCTTCGCTAAATCCCAAGTTAAGATTCCTTGCTGGAGGGCTGGGACTTGGGACTATACTGGAGCTGTGGGGACATGGGGTTTCTCTGCAGTCCCAGGACCCAGCATGGGGCCTGGCAATGAATGTTTGCTGAGTGAGTGAATGAACACGGCGGCACATGGTCACACCTAAGGTTGCCATGCGTTCCAGCTCTCCCCAGGAGATAACGAGGCATTTCTGGGGGCCGGGCCATGGCAGGCCTAAGCCTGGAGTAGGAGGTGCTGACTGGAGAAGGGATAACTGAACCATGTACCTGGCAGTTCCTCAAAGGTCAGAGCATGAATGTCCGATTCCCACTCTCCAGCAACCCACTCATGCGACAGGCCCTTGGGGGTAACCAGTGATGCATCCAGATTTGAGATGTCCACATCACTGTGCAGTGGTTGGGCCTGACAGGTGGACAGTCTGAATTCTGTCTCTGCCTCTTTCTTAGCTGCGTGACCTCAACCAAGTCACTTAACTACTTTGTGTCTGTTTCTTCACCTAAAAAAGGTAAAAACAATCCCTACCTTACAGGGTTTTAGGGAGAGTAAGAGAATCAACATGTGCAACATGCTTAGCTTATAGTAAACAAGAAGTGGTGGCTGTTACTGCTGTATCGGCTTTAATGTGGGGACATAGAGCATTGCTGCCCAACGACATTGGGGCTTCCCAGAAAACAACCTGCTGGTGTCAGCCTTGGAGTCTTTCTCTCCAAAGCACCACTGCCTCTGGTTGGGTCTTGTAAAGGCCCATTTACCATCTAAGGCAGCTCGGACAGTTTAACTAGTTGATGCCAAATTGGAGAGACGGGAGGCTGATGTCTAACTGAATCCCCCTTAAATGATGGGCAGTCCTCTTTTAAGGATATGTGTTATTCTACTGGCAGCCTGGGATGGTGGAATCACCACATCATTTACTAGCTAGTTCATCTGAGGCAGGATGCAGTGATCCAGCGGGCCTCAGCATCCTCATCCATAAAATCGGAGTGATAATAACAATGGCGCCTAATCTGATATATTGTCGAGGGTTTCACTGTAAATTGTACAGGGGATATGGAAATGAACATGTATTCATCCCCCACCATGGGCTAGGCACTGGTACATGCCTTCCAGGTATTTCAGTGTAATCCTTGAAACAAACTTAACCTTGCTTAGGTGTTCCTATCCTTATTTTACAAATGAGGAAACTGATGCTACGAAATTGCCCGGGGTCACACAGGTAGCAAGAGGCAGAGCTCGGGACTCTCTGGGCCTGTGGCTTTAACCCACGATCTTGGGTTTATCCCAGGTGACCCAGGGATTGATTTCCCACTAAACATCAGAATCTCCAAAGGGTGCTTGTCAGAAATGCTGAATTAGGATACCTGGGCGAGGGGGACTGGAAGTCTTCATTTTAAACAAGCCCCCCGCCACAGTGAGTCTGAGGGCCACTGGACTCTGCTTTTCATTTCTGGACATAAAAGCCCATCCTCATCACGCCAGAGGCTGCCTTTTTGTTTTGTAATCTTCAAGTAGCGAGGAGAGCGAGAGCACCCACAGATGGAAGAGTTTGAGAACTTCTGAGGTGCAGGTGCATTTTTTTCTCCTTTCAAGGGTCCTTAGGGCAGACAGTGGAAAGCATAAGAGGTTGTGTAAAGTACACAGGCTCTGGAGTCAGAATTGCCACCTTGGACAGTCACTTAATCACTGAGCCTCAGTTTTCTATCTGTAAAATGGGCATGCTAAAACCAATCTTCCAGGATTATTGTGAGAATTAAATAAGTAAACATAGCCCCAAATTCTTGTCCCTCCTCGCATCCTACGGTGGGGTGACCCTGTATTTGGACTCAGAAGCTCTGAATTCAAATCCAGCCTGGCCCTGGCCAGCTCTGAGGCATCCTACTCCAGGGATGCAATACAGCTGGTCTCTCTGGTGAACCTCCCTTTACCTATTGGGTCTTCTATGTAGCCTCAAATCCTTTCTGGAAAGATCCCACACATAAAACACCAGCCAAGTGAGGTCCTGCTGCCTCTCAGAGCCTCTGGTCCTCATCCGCGAAAAGGACACAAAGCAACTAGGGTTTGGTGGAGCCTTCAGTGAAAGCACTGGAAACCGGGGGGCTTTTTACACAGATGGGGAAGGGCGGAGGCGCTGGGTTTGACCAGCGTCCGCCCAGAAATGCAGAATCGCCGTAAGAAAAAGCCCTAAAAAGGAAGGACACTTTTAGAGAAAATAAAGGTGGATTCCGGGCATGAGCTTTCCACGGGGAAGGGGGACTTCCCCGCCCCCAGGTGCGCAGCCCGCGCCGCCCACCCCGGACGCGAGGCGAGGGGAGCCGCGCTCTAGGACCCGAGGAGGCAGAGCTGCGGGGAGACGGAGCCTCCAGCGGGTGCTGCCGCGAGTGGCCGGCCGAGGGGGCTGGAAATGAAAGTAAAGCGCTCCGGAGCCACATGGACGGAGCTGCCGGGGCGGCGGCGCCGGGAGCAGGATGCGGCCGCCCGTAATTAAATAGCATTTACTCTTATTATTACTAATAATAATAACGTAATCATACCTCTAGTCATAGCATACCACTTATCGGGCTCGGCGCAGGCCCGCGGAGAGCGCAGCCCGGCCGAGGTGAGTGCTGCGCGAGGCCCGACCCGGCGGGCAGAGGCCGGGGCCCGACCGCGTCCCGTTGGCCGGCGCGGGAGGCTCGGGGGCGCCCGGGGGCCGCGCGGGGCCGGGCGGAGGCGCGGGAAACCGGGGCCAGGCCGGAGCTGCGCGGGGCCACCTGGAAAGTGCATTTTCAGAAATAAAGGAATAGCTCCCCTCTCCCCGCTTCCTCCTTTTTGGGGCTCCCCGACCCCGTGCCCTGCCCCAAAGTTGCAAAGTTATTGTGCGACCGGGGGCACCTGCCGCTGGGGGATGTGGCCGCCCCTGCAGCTCCCGGGGGGGTGCCTTGGAATTTTCTTCCGTGGGAGGCTCTCTCCTCGGCGTCCGGAGCTTCGGGGTGCGCGGATGCTTTGCGCCCCCCGCGAGGGGTGTCTAGGGGCTGGCAGGGGCGCGCCAGCGACGCCCGTGCCCTTCTTGTGCGCCTTGGCCCCGCAGCGCCGGCAGTTGCAGGGGCGAGGACGGAGGACCGCGGCCGCCGACGGGCCGCCCCTGCCGGCTGCGGCGGCCACGCGAGCCCGGGGATCCGGGGCCTGCGGCCCGGCCCGGGGGGAGGGGGCGGCAGGAAAGGGGGGCGCGGTCTGGGCAGGGGGCCATTTCCGGTCGCAGGATCCGTTCCTGGGCTCGGAGGCCTGGGGGGTCCCGATCGCGGGGCCAGGAGCGCGCGGGGGCTGCGGGGCGCCAGCTCCAGCGCCTGGGGGCGCCCCCGGGAAATGGGTGCTCGGGAGCCGCCGACCCCGGCCTGGGACCCCCGTCCTGCTTTCAGCGGGCCTCAGGGATCCCTCCGGGCCTGCTCCCTCCTTTCCCCTCTTTCCCCGAAAATCTCTCTGGCTCAGGTGTTTATAAGGTGTCTGGTTTTGGGGTCTTTCAGAGAAACAAAGCAGTTTTCCCAGGGGAAAAAAAATCGTGTAGAAACGATTCGCTCTGATAGACCCTGATGACTGTGGTGCCAACATGGCATTAACCGGGAAGAGTAGGGGCTGGGCCCCGGAATGGCGGGCTGGGGAGTCTGGGCCGGGAGTGGGCGGCTGGGGGCCCACAGCGGCTTTGTTAGGGGTTTCATTTCTCTGGGGTTGCTCACTAGGATTTTGGTTCCTAGGTACAAGACTTTGAACCCCAAGTTCTTACTTTTCCTCAGCGCCTGCAATTGATCGAGTCTCATGAAAATAGCAGAATGCAGATCCTTGAATTTTTCACACAAGTGTGATAATTATAGTACGTTTAGCAACTGTTGGACATAAAATTCCAGCGGAATCTTTGGTTCTACTACCAAGACTCCTCCCCTCTCCCTGCATACAACCGTAGCCACCGTAGTCTATTTTCCCCGTTTTCACTTCCCATAGACGTTGGACTGCAAGCTAGAAATTATGCCTGGCCAAAACAGAATTTTGAGCAGGTTTGAGGCATGGGGTGCCTGATGGGGAAGGAGAAACCTGTGTCCAGGAGGGATGAGATCTGAGGATGGGAGAGAGATTTTGTGGTCCCTGAGCTGGGATGAGGTTTGTGTTCCATGGATGCTGTGAATTCTAGGCTGTTGGCTTTTGTTTGGGATGGACAGTTAAGAATGTGTGTTTCGGTTGATTATTTGGGGCTATGAAGCTCTATAGGATGAGCTAGTCTCTTGAGTCTTAGGTATAGGAAAGTTGAGGCATCAGTAGGTTTGGATTTGAGAATTTGAAAATAATAATCCCTTAAATAGCACTTTTTAGTTTATAACAAAAGGGCTTTCACATATGCTAGCTCATCTGTCCTCCGTAGCAACCATGTCAGGTAGACATTTTTCAATGCTCATTTTCTAGATGAGAAACCTGAAGCTTAGAGAATTGAATATCTCCCTGGAAAGTCACATAGCAGAGCTAGGATTCCTGCCTGGTTTTCTGACTCCAAATCTTCACCCTTTCCCAGAGTCCTGGGCTACCTTAGCCAGTTACTTTTTAGGCACGTCTTGTGAGCATGGTGAGATGTTGTGGGGCAGGCTTGGGGTTGAGTTTGTCACTTGGAGTCTGGCTGGAAAGAGGGAAGTTAACTATAGTGAACCAATGAGAAAACAAGGAAATGCTCAATACCGGGGTCAATGCTGTGGGAGGGGAGAGGAGAGAGAGGTAGCCAGGTAACCGAGAAAAGTTAGGGAAGGTTTCCTCCAGGAAGGGAAGCTTGAGCTTGAAAGAATGGGGAGGCTTGGCCGGGGTGGAGAAGAGGAGGGAATTCCTGGGCTCACCACAGCCACAATTGCTCCTGCTCTGGGAGGTTGACGTGCGTTCTCTTTAATTCTTACAGTGGCTCTATGTGGAGTGGGCATTATTATCTCCATTTCACAGATGAAGAAACTGAGGAACACAGGACTTAGGTGGCTGGCCCAAGGTCACCCAGCTGGATTTGAACCCAGGCCTGGGTGACAGTTGAGTGGGCAAATGCAACAGAGGTGGGGCTTAAGCTAAAAGGTCAGCAGGCTCCCCAAGGCCAGGGAGTTTTACTGAACTCGCCCTGTGTCCCAGGGCCTCGGAGGCCTGGCCTAGTGAAAGTACTCTCAGGAGATTCTGAAGTGTGACTGGAGAAGGCAGAATAGTGGTGGAAGGAGGACTGGGCCCTGAGCGCAGAGATGTACGTTCAGTTCTTTCGTGCCTGCCGGGGGCCTGGCTCTGTACCTGGGAGGAGGCTGTAGCTTGGGAAGGAGACAGACATGGATGATCAGCTTGAGGTTCCCAAGGACCGGAACTGGGTCTGCTTCAGCCCTGGTGCCCCAGGCCCCAGAGGAGGTGCCAGGAGGACACGTTCAGCTATTGTGTTGTCAAAGTGAATTATGCCCCAGTGTAGAGGCGGAAGGTTTATTTTTCCCCGGGGGTGGAAGGCCTTCATAGAAGAAGTGCCAGTTGAACATTTGAAAGATAGGTTGAGAAAGGGCATTCTGAGGAGAGGCCCTGAGACGGGCAAAGGCAGCACAGTGGAAAGAAGGGACAGGCAGGTCGTCTGGTACAGCCACAGTGGAGGCAGCAGGTGTGAGTCCAGGTTCAAGTCAGGCTCTGCCACGGTGGTCCCTTGGGTTCTCTGGGCCTAAGTTTCCCTTTCTGAAAACAAGCCCTAAACTTTGATGATGTTTGATGGTAATGTGTGGAGAATCCCAGTGCCCGGGGATGGGACAGGAGACTCAGATGAAAGAAACTAGAGAGGTTTAAAATGTTTAATGATTTAACAAACACCAATCCAGCGATTACCTAGTGGCCAGGCCCTGTTGTGAGTTCTTTTTCCTGGATGAGCTTATTAATCTTTATAACAGCCCTCTAGGTAGGCACTATAATTATCCCCATTTTACGGGCGAAGAAACTGTGGCACAGAGAGGTTAAGTGGCATTGTGTAAGTGGCAGAGCTGCAGAGCAAACCTAGGCAGTCTGGCTCTTGAGTTGGCCCAGTGTGGGCCCGGGTATGGCTGGGAGGGGGAGAGGAGACTGCTGGGGCCGCAGTGGCAGACCTCAGTCAGCGGAAGGTGGAGGTGTCCTCTGAGGCAGTCTGGCTGCAACCAAAGCCCGGGCTGCAGCCTCAGTTGATGAAGTGACTGCCGTGTGTCAGCTCCCAGGAGCCTCCACAGAGGCCAGCTCCTTTCATCACATTTAATGGCCCATAGAAAATGGGCTCATTTTCCTTTCTCTGTCATCACCAGCTACGGGGCTCCTTCCTGCCTTATTTATTTCCCCTAGTAAGTCTGTTCTTACAGGCGTCCTGATGGCTTCTGCAGGTGTGTGAGCGTTGCTTCCCCGGCAGCCTTCGGAGGCCCAGAGGGAAGGGACACCAGCATTTCTGCACTCAGAACCCGTCTATAGTCAACTGCGGTTCGGCAGCAATTCCCGAGCCCTGTATCAGAGGCTGAGACACGGGGTCGACGGCAATGGTGCAGTAGCGACGGCAGCCAGCATGCATTTAGCACCGCCGTGTGTCAGCACTGTGCTTGGCCCTTTCTGTGCCTTCTCTTTCTGAATCTCTTTCTTACCAACTCTTTGAGACAGGAATGATTATTAGCAGCCCCATTTTGCAGGTGAGGAGACAGTCTCCAAGATCACACAGCAGTGGGAGAGCAGGAGTCAGAGGGAGCCAGGCCTGTTAGACTCCTGAGTCCGAGGTCTTAGCTGCCATGCAGGAGAGATGCCTTCAAGTTATTTCAGTCTCCATGAAGCTCTTTTCTTATCTGTCTGGAAATCCTAATTATCTAACATTTGTATTGTGCTTGTGTCCACAGTCCCTCATTAATCCTCATGAGCATCCTTCTAACGTAAGAATGTCCCTGTTTTTCAGAAAAAGAAAAAAACCAAGGGGTCATCCACCCTCCAGCTCTTCCTACCCTGTCTCTGTCTTGTTCCAGCTCTTCAGAAAGGGAACAGGGTGTCAGATTCCCTGTGACCAAGAGCCGTGTCTTCTGAAGTGCCAGGGTCAGCCAGCGAGCATCTATTGAGCACTTCCTTTGAAGGCCGCAGGGGAGGTCAAGGCTGTGACCTTTCTGGAGTTTTCAGAGGTTCATCTATACTCTTGTTCTCTGGAGCATTCCATGTCGTGCCCGGTCCCTCTGCAGGACAGGGAATACAGGGCAGGGAGTCCAAAGTCCTGAGTTTCATTCCCAGCTTCAGCACTTGTTAGCTGCATGATCTGGGGCACAATCATTTCATCAGTCTTGGCCTCGGTCTCCTGTTCCGTGAAATGGCCTTGCTGATTCAGTCCTGTCTGCCTTGGGTTTGCTGTGCGAGTCAAATGAAGGAACTTTGAAAGCTATGAAGACCACCTGGTGTGAGGGCGTGGTTGTGGTTGCCATGAACATTTAATAACCTCCAGAATATTCCTGAATCTTTTCAACTCCCCACCTTGATCCAGGCCTGGGTCCCTGCAGTAGCCTCCTAACTAATCTTCTAGCTTCTTTTGTCATCCATGCTCCACGCAGCAGCCAAATGGATCTTCCTGAGATTTAAATGAGACCCTGTCATTCC